ATCCATTTCAGAGACATGTTCTTAAATGTGACTCATATAAAATATATTACATGCATGCACAGTTTTAAAACGCCTCCCGTTCTCAGTCGTTCTGCGACTGAAAAAATGCACTTCTTGTCAAGAGAAAAAGTGACAGAAGCAGCAGTTGTGAGTGTGGTGGCCAACCCTAGCCCTGCCCCTGCGTTAAATATTTTGAACGCGTTAAACTGAAAAAATAATCGCCTTGCGTTAACGTGCTAATTTTGACACCACTAATACATACATATTCATATATAATTTATTTTAAAATTACAATAAATACATTTAAAATATTTGAAAAACCTACACTGTTCAACCACCAAGATCAAATAATATACTACATTGTAATATAATATACATCAGGGGTTCTCAACTCTGGCCCTTGAGGTCCACTTCCCTGTAGAGTTTCGCTCCAACCCTAATCAAACACACCTGAACCAACTAATCAAGGTCTTCAGGATCACTAGAAAGTTACAGGCAGGTTAGGCTGGAGATAAACTCTTCAGGAAAGTGGACCTTGAGGGCCAGAGTCAAAAGCCCCTGATATACGTAATGCAGCAGGCCTTTTGAAGGTCATTCTCTCTAACCTCTTGAGTACAATGGGAACAGACACTGCCGGATTCTTCTTCAGTCCGTCGATGATGTCCAGAGCTTTGTCTCCATATATCCTCTGGATGGCTTTCCTGTGGATGATCTCCGAGCAGCCGCCCAGAGTGTTGTCCAGTCGGAATTTCACCTGCTCTTCCGCAGACATCCGAGACAGCTTCTTCTGAACCGCCTCCAGCACACGAATGGTGGCCAGGTTGGTTTCCAAGACGACATCCAGCTGAAGTCGACGACATCGTTAGCAAGAATTACATCACAACAGCAAGTGAAACCAGTAAAAATGTTCTTGTGTGTGTTAGCGTCTCACCTCGAATCGCTCGTCCTCACACCTGTACATGTGCTCTTCATACTGAGTCTTCTTGGAGCTGACGAAGGTCGAGTCCTCAGACCAGGAGGGGAAGGAAACCCAGGTATCATTCAGCACCTGATGCATGCACAAAGAACCAGTTTCTTAATGAAAGCTTGTGTCATATGAAGCATGCTCATTATTAAGAAGCTGTTGTTAGGGGGAAATCCTCTCTAACCTCTTTACAGAGTGATGTTCTTCCTGTGCATTTGGGAAGCTGGTAGCTCTTGGGTAAAGCTCGATAACTAGAGCCCAGACGCTTGCACGAAGCGTAGTCAATTTCCATGGCAATTCCTTCAGTGGCTCTTTCTTTTGGGTACCTCTCCAGGTGTGACATCTCCTTATATCCAAGGAAGTTCTTAAACCAAGTGAACAGCTCAGGAAATTTGCTGGGGGAAAATGGGTTAATTAGTAAAAACACAAACCTACTACTGCAAAATAAATACCGGAGGCAGCTTTGTAATAAATACAAAAATAAATAAAACTAAAAATGAATGGCAAAACAAATCTACCTACTGCAAAATAATTTCAGCAAAAAAATAAATACAAAAAATCAAATAAATACAAAATGAATGAATGAATGGTGAAAATGCACAAAAAAAAAACTAAATCCCACTACTGCAGAATAATTTCTAGAGCAGTTTTGCAAAAAATAAATAAATAATAAAAAATGAATTAAAATAAAACAAAACATTATTCCCAAAAATGTTTTGGTAGCTAGTAACACAAACCTACTACTTCTAAATAAATGCCAAGGAAGTTCTCTTAAAATAAATAAATAAATAGAAATAAATAATAGAAATAAATAAAATAGACATATTTAATAAATATAAAACAATAAAAAAATAAAGATAAAATAAATCTGTAATTTATTTAAATCAAATACATTTAAATGAATTAAACTAAAATAAATAAATAAAAATAAAATAGAACAATTAAAATTCACTTCAAATGGGACTTACCCCAAGAATGGAACCACAAGTTGAACCAGCTCAGCACGAGAAATGATCTCTTCGTTAAAAATGATCAGGCACCGGAGAAAGTTGTCATATGCTTCAGCACTTCGTAAAGCTTTCCGCACCTACGAATGCACCCATAATGTAAGTCAAAATAGGAAATCAAAAAGTTTTGAGATAAAAACAACCTGCATATTACATCAACATCCCTATGTTAACCCAAAGCAACTCACTTTGTCAAAGAAAAGAGACTCTGTTCCTCCACCATGTTTGCCAGATTCTGCCACGGATGAATCTTTGATATTCATTAACTTGAGCTTTTTCTGGAAAAAAAAGAGAGGAAAAAAGTCAGATATCAAGAAAGTTATTCTACAAAAAATCATGCCAAATACAACGAAATTCATTCAGTGTATAATGAAATGTATTTCTATGAATTTGACAATTTCCTGTACCTTCACAGGTGGGGTGACGGCTGTAGTCGAGTGCTTGCGTATCTGGCAGCCGTTCTGATTGGGCCTCTGCTTGTTATTGAGCTGTGGTTTCTTGGCCGTTCCACCGTGATCGTTACGCACAGATTCGGCCTTCTCTGCTGTCGTCTTGCTCAGCAGCTAGAGGAAATTCATAGCAGGAAACATGCGTCATTTTCACTTAGTGTAACGTCATGTACTAAAATAACCAAAACTACAACTGAAATAAAAATTACAGGGCGCGACAGTTTGAGCATTTCACTCGCATTTAGAATTTAGAAAACAGATGTGTGCAAACACTGAAATGTATTTAGGAGCATGTGTGCGATTAAAATTCAGTTTTATGAAATTTAAAGTAATAAAAAGTCTTAAATACCTTAAATGGTATTACATACTATTAATTAATTTAAATTTGATCAACTATTAATTAAAATTACAATTTTAATTTAAAGGTAGAAAAACAGTAATCGTGATACGTTCTAAAGTGATAATTAAACTTCAAAAGGCTATTATATAATTAAATAAATATAAATAAATAAATAAATAAATAAACTATTGTAACAGTCTAAGACTAAGTCTTTAACAATCACTATTTTATAAATTTAACATATCCTTGCTAAATAAAGGTATTAATTTCTTTCAAAGAAAAAAACAAAAACAACAACAATGAAAAAACATACCACAAACTTTTGAACAGTAGAAAAGATTTCTATTTTGAACTTTTTCAAAACTTTTTATTCATCAAAGAATCTGGAAAAAGTATTATAGGCTCCAAAAAAAGAATGCTTATTAGAATGATTTCTGAAGGATCATGTGACACTGAAAACTGGAGTAATTATGCTGAAAATTCAGCTTTGCATGACAGGAATAAATTACATTTTAAAGTATATTCAAATAGAAAACCATTATTTTAA